ACAATGCACGTTCGTACAAATTCAAAGATGCTTGAAAAATGTTAAAATGGACTGAGAAAACACACTTAAGAGTATCTCACACAACCACACAGCAATGCATAATTAGACGACCTTATCATTGTAGCAGGAGGCCTTTTGAGTTGGAGAATATCACTCAAGTTGTGATCTGCCTTGATACGGAACATGCATTCTCCAATTTGTTCATTTTCCACTTCATTCGAAAGTTTGTCTATGATGTCGGAAGCAACGCAACCCTGTAAGAATGCAAAAAAAATTCTGCTTCAAGAATTGAATATTTTGCATAGCCCAAGTATTCTAGTGATATCGACCAAGAGTTAAAAACAAAAACTAGAGAATAGACCTTCATAAATGTTCGTTGAATCCCGTAATTGAACGCCTCATTTCTCCATATTCTCATAACCAGAGCAAAATGCTTGAATGCAGAGTCATTAAATGTCTCATCCTCGAGAACTGTAGAAGCTTGGAGTGCCTCCAGAAGTTGTTGTGCCATTTGAACAACAAACTCGTCTTTGGCCAATAAATCACACTCATCGGTAATGATTGGATCCTACACAAATTAAAGTCGGGTATTAATGGAAGTCCAGTCCAGTATGTCGCTATAAACAGAGGCGAAAACTAAAATCATCACCACAATGCATTGGAATATTAATATTAAATACTGGAACAAATGCAATAGTGTGTAGAAGAACAAAAAAACTAAATCAACTACAAAAAATAAACCTCTTGAAGGTGATTATCATCTATTTCCAATTACGTAACACATAAAACAAAAAGATTTAAAATAAGAGAGGGAGAGAGAGAGAGAGAGAGAGAGAAAATAACAGAGATTGGCATACCGAAAGAAATCTAGAGGCGAGGGAGGCATCGAGCAACCCTGTAATGGCCGGTCTTTTGGCATTTTCCTTGTCTGGAGCCTGTGGGCTCAATTTTCTCTTATCTTCAAATCCAAAGCTATCGGACATCTCCTCGTCCTACAAGAATTATGGTTTATTGTCAAGTTTTAAAACCCTATGTTTGGATTGATGAATTTGAAATATATATAGATTTCAAATTTACAAGTTCCCCATGCATGTTGGGACAATGATAGAAGTTGAAGGATTTCAAATTCAATTTTTTTAATGGATTTTAACTCCCTCAATCCAACCGTATTGTTTAGAGGTACCTGAACAGATAACCGAATGATTTGATGACAAACATATAACCCAACAAATACTAGGATCCATAGATATTTGGGGTTCGGATAATGTAAAGCTATGAGAATCCAAGAGAAAATAGAGAAAATCAGGGCAACCAGAGTATTGTAAAGGTTTATACTCACGCAATCATCTCCTTCCCGGTCGTTCCCGACAATCATGCCTTCCCTCCTGCATATTGTAAACAAAACGAGCTTAATAATGAAAGACACAAACAAAAACACACACATACATTAAAGTAAACAAAATAATGCAGGACTACTTCCACAATTCCTCCTTCGCCTTCCTCAGCCGCGCGGCGCCACCGCTTCCGGCGGAGAAAGAGAGGACATGGAAATTGCCGGCGAGCAGGGCGGCAGCGGATGCCCGTGGCGGCGCGGGGCCAACATATCTGGTGCAGAGGGAGTATAGAAGGCGCGCCGGAGAGTTTCGGGCCGATCCCGATGCCATTTTATCGAGGGGTTTGGAGGGGAGAGAAAACCTGCGGGAAAGTAGCTGAGGGGAATGGAAATGGAAAAGAGGAGGCGAGTGAGGTTTACTAGGGTTTTTCAAGATATATATATACCGGCTCAAATCTTGAAAGAGTTTTTTACGATGAATCATTTTTTTATTTGGCTTGTCAAACTTTATTTATTCATTTTTTTTTTAAGAAATGAAAGACCTGAATTTTCAACACTATTATAATTAGTACTAGTGGTCTTACGACCCTGCACGCATGACCGGCTCAATTTTAGTCAATTTTAGTCTAAAATCTACTGTAATTTTGTTGTCTTAAAAATATAACATAATTCAAATTTTGCACAACACTATATGTAGAATACAAGCTATTCACAAATATGATTGCCTATTTCAAATGATCTTTAAAACTTCCAATGATTGCATGTGAATTTCACACTCCTAAAAGCATCATGTAAACAATGTTTTTTTTGGACCGCGACGTGTAGACGTGGCTAGGTGCCGACGGTCCTAGTTTCCTTGGACCGCGACTGGCCCGATAAGAACCAAGGGTCGATTCGATGAACCGGCCCCGTATCGGCGGGTCACAGGACTGTCGGTTCTCGATCGGTTCCGTGTCGATCCTGCAATTCGCAGGTTCTTTTTTTTGGTATATATCCCCCTATATATTAATCATGAACAGCTGAGTTTATGTGGCTGCTTCTGGTGCTTCAGAATCCTATGTGGCAAAGTTACATGCTTCGTTATTAGGCTTGAGTAAATTTTAATTTAATTCCAAACAAAAAATAATTAGGTTCGGATTACCATAAATATGTTGATTATTTATGGTCATGTTACATATATTAATTGCATTTTTAATATCATCCTTATTATAACTATTGAATTGTATATATATTTTAAAAGTTAATAACT